CGGCTGTCGACCAACACCCCCAGGTGTTGAAACAGGAGAAGAGATTGTGTGTCTCCTTTCATTAACACCAGGACACCCGTTAGCACAAAGGGGCACCCCACAAGGAAGATCCACCTTCCCCAAGTGCAGGCAAATTCCACAGAAGCCCTCCCACGCTGCCCACCACAAAGTTGGTGTCACTGTCTGCCATGAGGACGTCCCCCCCACATGCCAACTCCCGGTGCAAACAGCAGCAGAAAATCTCACCCTGAGCCCTGAAGTCTACCTTTACCCCATTGTTTACACCCATTCCCCTCCCCATAACTCTTTGCCCCCTGATACCTGGTGGGGGTGCCCATGAAGGAGAGGAGTGCTTTAGATAGACCTCAGGAGGCCCAACAGGTCACAGCCCCCCAGATCAGGGCAGATGGAGGAGATGCGCCCCACTGCATTGTCCGTGCTTTCCTGCGTGTATTCCACACTCTGCCTGTGGGAGGGCACCCAGAGTGTCAGAGGGGAGAGAACCTGGCCCACGGCTACCCTCACATGGCCACTCCCTAGAAAAGCCCTACCTCACTACCAGTGCTACAGAAGCACCCTGAAAAGAGGATTTACCCTCTCACTGCCCCCAACATATCCTGCCCCACAACTGCCCTCCAGCAAGAGCTTGTCCCATAGTTTCACTTAGAAAACTCATACTCTACTTACCACTTGGCCCTGCCCCATCATCACCTCCAACTCACAGACAGAAGGCTTTGAAAGTGGCCCAAAAACTGTAGATGTTGAAGTAACAGCCCAGAGGCAAACTCTTGAGGAGGAAGAGCAGTGTGTTCTGGGGACAGAGAGAGGGATGAGCAGAGCTCAGGTGGGGAAGCTAGGCAAAACATCTGCCCACGTGAAGCGGCTTGCCTCTATCCCCACCAGCTGGGCATGACCGGTGTGGAAAATCACCCCCGAAGACCTCCTCCGGTGGTACCTGTGCATCCTGGAAGAGGCTGCAGTTCATGAGAAAGAGGAATTCCCCAAGATGGCCTGGATTGGGCACCACCTCAGGAATGCTGGGCATCAGTGTCACCATCACCACAGGGTCTCCCAGCAGAGAGCCTGGAGTGTGTGGGGGGAAACAAGGAGGAATTTTAGGTTGGAGCCCCTTTCCCTGTCTCTTTGCTTTTGTCCTCCACATAGCCCTCAGCTTTGACCTATTGCCTGAAAAGCCCCTCAGATCCCCCCAGTCTCCCTGACACCCTCTCCCTAATGCCCACTTCCACCCTCCTCACTCACCAGGTGGGGCTTTGGGATCTCTCCTCTCCACCCCAGCACTGAGAGTGTGAGACCCTCTGTAATACACCAGCAAGTTCAGATCATCCTGCATCCAGGGTGGCAATTTCAAGGACACCTGAGGACAAGTAGACTGTGGGGAGGAAAGAAAACCAAATAAAAGGACTGAGGAGTCCTAAGGAGCATCAGCAGGCTGCAGTCCTCTTTGGGACTCTAGCACCTGGCAGGGCCATACCTCAGCAGATGTCTGATCTGGAGCCGTGTATTGCAGAGGGGTGTAGCTGCTGTTAATGGCTATATGGGACACACCATGAGCTGACTTCAGACAGATGCTGAAGTGCAGGTTTTCAGACATCTCCTCCTCAGAAGAGATCCAGCCTGCAGTGAGAAAGAGGCATGAGAAAGTGAAAGAAGAGACCCTAGGGCAGCAGACAGCTATTGTGGGGCACTGTCTGTTGTTGGTAGGGGGGAAAATGTGGCATCTGAGACGTCCCTCACTGTGATGCTTAGTGGGAGGGGGGTGGTGGTGGTGAATCTGTAGACTCACACTGTGGTTTGTATAGGGATTTGTGGGGATCTCTTGCTGTGGGATATATGGGGAGACCCATGGGGTTCCCGACTGTGAGATGCAAGCGGGAATATTCAGATTCTCTCACTGAGGCACGTGTGCAGATATGGGGGTTCCCCCCCCCCC